TGTCATGCTTGTAGACTTTACTAAGCCCATGTTTCAAAAATTGTTTTACTGAGTTATTTTTTATGGCTTCTAATTAATTTATACCCCATTGTTTAGATGACTTTTCTCGAATATAATGTTGACATTTGAATTTAGAAATTAAAATATTCACTTTCATACTTAAACTAGTTGCATATTTTTATGAATAATACATATCTGAATATATATTTATTATTTTATTATTATTATTATATTTATTTGTAGCATGCCTGGAGGAAGTTATTATATGGGCTGTGTTTCTTCCATGCACTGGTGCAAGAAAGGCGTAAATTTGGTCCTCTTGGTTGGAATATTCCTTACGAGTTTAACGAGACAGATCTGCGCATCAGCGTCAGACAACTCTCCATGTTTCTTAATGAGTATGAGGTGAGTGTGGGTACAAACGTGGCGGGCTACTCAATAATGGTAATGTCTTATTTCACAATGGACTGTTCCGCTAAACCTCGCCCCTTGAATATTGTTGCAGAGGTCCCACAAAACGGCGTAATTTGCTATTTTAAGCCTAGTCTTTTATGCTAGAATATACATTATTTTTCTAAGTGATAAAAACATTGTAAAAATTAACAGTTTAACAGTTTCAAATTTATCTATCTAACAACAGGAGGTGCCATTTGCAGCCATTAAATATCTAACAGGAGAATGTAACTACGGAGGACGAGTCACTGATGACCGTGACAGAAGAACGCTTCTCTCCATCCTAGATAAGTTTTACTGCAAAGAGGTTATAGAGAGTGAAGACTACAAATTTGATGTCTCTGGAATTTACTTTTCCCCCAAAGATGGAGATGTAAGTAATATTTGTTCATGTTTTTCAAACAAGTGACCTCATTTTCTTTTTTTCTTATGCCGGGGACTCTCTGTGTCGTACGACAGTCATATGACCATCGGCCGACGAATTCAATTCCGCTCCCTTTAAGCGTTAGATGACACAACACCCTCTGCTGATTGTCGGTGGCAGTCTGAACTGATTGACATTAAAAATCATCCGTTGCTGGTGCGTTGTGGCGTTGCATTCTCCTTACAATCGCGCCTGCCGATGACCGTTGGGTGCGGTGTGGCCCCAGCTTTACGGAACCTAATTAATTGTGGTTGACTTGTATTTTATAATCACAAGTTTGGGCCACTTCAATACTATTTTTTTCTGCGCATATACTGTATTCGATTAATTATTCCATGCTTTTTTCTTTTTTTTCCCTACAGTATGAGAGTTACATCGAGTACACTAAAAATCTACCCCTAAACCCTCATCCAGAGATCTTTGGTATGCATGCAAATGCAGATATCACCAAGGACCAAGCACAAACAAAACTCCTTTTTGATAATATTCTACTTACCCAGGTAAGAAATGTTAATGAATTTAAACCTTTATGATGATGGTGATCTTGATTAGTCTTATTAATTTTAATTGGTATGTCATATATTACATAAGTTAAATAATGAAAATATGACAAAAATAATGCTAATAATAATATAATACTAATAAAAAATTCATCGTTATAATCATTATCCTCATTTTCATCATCTTCCTCATCATAGTCATAATTATCATCATCGCGTTTTGATCCCACCATGATCATCATTTCATCATCATCATCATCATCATCATCATCATCATCATCATCATCATCATCATCATCATCATCATCATCGTCATCATCATTATAATTTTCATTACTGATTGCTATTGACATAGAGTATTAATTGCAAATGTCTATGTAGGTTGTTAATTGTATAATATAACAGATGTAAGCTTAACAGGCTTAATAGCTAAGTTATTGTGTGGGAAGGGGATTGGTGTTGAACGAGATGGCATAATGGTATTTCAACGCCCAACACCTTTGATATTGGGACAGCACTAATGCGTGCTAATGGAGTGGAGTTGAATAGATTTGTCTAAGATGCTGGCTTTCCAATCCCAGGGTCCTGGGTTCAATTTCTGTTACAGTAACATGATTTTTTTCTCACACCCAAAACAACTCCACTCCCTAAGCTTCATAATGAGACTTAGTTTACATGAAGCTTCTTCTTTTTATGTTTGTCTTGTGAAGGGATATACCACTTTGAATATTGACTTAGTTCAATGCTTTGCAACCCTTGCCCTAAAACCAGTTAATAAAAAATTTCAAAAATTAAATGTTTCCATGACAAGATATTATTCTGGGGTCTACCTTGAGCTTTGCTTTATAAAACAAATGCCATATAGTACTAATTCAATATTATTGGATAAGAAAATGTTTTAAAATGTTTTTGATAAGTATACATTTCTTCATCTTTGTATTTTTGCTTCTGTGCTTGCTGCTGCCACCATTCACAATCACTATCATCTGCAGGCTCAGGTATATGTATGGT